AACCCTGTGAACAGCTCTGGGAAGCGGGGGGGGGGCGGGGGGTTTGGGGGAGGGGAAGGGGGTTTATTTTGTAAATGTTATAAAACTTTTAATAAAAACAAACAAAAAAAACCAAATGTTTCACAGCAACAGAAAATTTGGATTCAATTGTTGTTGTAAGTCGAGGACTATCTGTATATTACAAGTTTAGCAGGTTTTACTGATCCTTTCTGTGTCCTGCCTCTCTGCTCCTCCCCTCCCCTTTGCTCTAGCAATTGAAGCTCTGAAGAAGGCACACAGGGAAGAAATGAACAAGGAGTTGGGCAGAACACGCAACTTTCAGAAAGGGTTTTCAGATCCAAATGCTCTCCAGCAACAGCATCGGTAAGAGACGATTGAAAAATGATTATTGGAATTTTGACTCACGAATTGAGGTAGGTAGGAGATACAGTATAATTATATCTATCAAAATGTTGATTGCTGTAGCATTTGGTGAAAATCTTTAGGTGCGTTTTGGGAGCAAATTGACTTTGCCATCAATTTTAAATGCAATATAGAAAAGAAAAATATAACTGGACAGTAGTCCTATTCATTTATGTGTTTATTTAAATTCAATTTGTGCCTACCTCTACGGCAGTGATGGCGAACCTTTTAGAGACCGAGTGCCCAAATTGCAACCCAGAACCCATTTATGCATCGTCGGGTGCCAGGTGGGTGTGGCCCATTGGGTGGGCATGGCCCATTGAGTGGGCGTGGCTGCGGTGGTAACAGCAGACTGGGTGGGACTAAAAAGTTCAATCAATCAATTCCAACTTTGCAAGGTCTTTTTTTTTTCCCACGAGAAGTTGAAATTGACTGATTGATTGAACCTTTTTTTTTTTGCACACGGTGGCGGAGGCCTAAAGCGAAAAGGTTTTATAAAACCCAGCTGAAGGCCCAGGACTGGGGCGATGGCGCGTGTGCCCACAGAGAGGGTTCTGAGTGCCGCCTCTGGCACCCGTGCCATAGGTTCGCCACCACTGCTCTACGGTATGTCATTCTTTAACACAGCCCCCATGTGCTTTTGAGATGCATCCCTCCCCCCAGCTCATTTAGCTAAGTGCAACCCTTTTCTAGGAAAAGCTAATGACCTTTTAGTTTTCACTTGTTTTCTTTCAACAGATGGGGCCAGATAGGTCTGTAATTAAGTGGGACCCGTAAGGCTCTTTTGCACCAGAGATAGCCTAGAGAAGGAACTCTGACAACTCAAAAAGATGCCTAGGCACACCAAACCTGGAAATGGGGATGATAGTAATAGGCTGTATTTGTATAGATTAGCCTCTGTCTCATGACGGCTATGTTTTGTTCAGGAGTTACAAAATAAGATTCTTATTTTGGAAGAGACCGGATTGATTTTGATGGCAAAATTATGGTATCTGCTGCAGGTCTGATGTGGAGTCTCTGAAGCGGGAGTTGCAAGTGCTTTCAGAACAGTATTCCCAGAAGTGCCTGGAGATTGGGGGCCTTGTGGACAAGGCAGAAGAACAGGAACAAATGTTGCAGCGTTGTCAACAGGAGGGGAAAGAGCTGCTTCGGCAAAACCAGGCAAGGATGGTGTTGCCAATAGCAGGAATTCTGAGGGAAGAACAAGGACAGAACAAAGTAGCATTCATGAAAGGAAGACAGTTGCAATCTCCTTAATTTAAAATTCAAATTAAATTTAAATACCAGTGAGCTTTCCATTCGTCTTACCTGGTGGTCCTTGTCTTAGCAGCTAATTCTGGGAGATTTGGCAACCGTTTTTGTGATGTCAGCCGTAGATCTGTATGGAATCCCTAGGATGCTGAGTCAGATTGAGCAATAGAATAGTAAACACTATTGAGCTCTGGAAAGACAAGCTTTGTAGAGAGCCCTGGCAACATTCAGCCTAAGATGTTTCTTCTCAAGACTGCACAATTGAAGATTGGTAGCAGGCCATTGTGTAAAAATGGTGCAATTATCCAGAGCCTTTTGTCAATATAAGACAGCGGTTCTCAACCTATGGGTCGCGACCCCATTTGGGGTCGATCGACCATTTCACGGGGGTCGCCAAGCAAGGCTGTCTGCCATTTTTTTTTCCGCCATTTTTTTTGTCCGCCATTTTTTTCCCCTTTTCCAGCGGGTGCCTTACCTCCCTTGGGCTGGGCCAGCTGGTGGTCGGCCTGCTCCGTCTCTGCCGCTTGCCAGCTACGCCTCGGCCGGCGCAGGGGGCGGAACCACGCATGCGCGGCGCTCCCGGGCAGGGAAAGTCCTCAACTTACGACCGGCTGGGTAGTCCTCGACTTACGACCGGTTTAGTCCTCGACTTACGACCGGTTTAGTCCTCGACTTACAACCGGTTTAGTCCTCGACTTACGACCGGTTGGGGGTCGCGGCATTAAAAAGGTTGAGAACCACTGATATAAGAAGTTAGACAGCCATGGCTTTGCTATATGTAACTCATCTTTTAATAACTTAAAAAGTTAAAAAATTGAAGGAGCAAAGCCAGAAACAATCTGTCTCCCTTGAGGACATTACCAGATGTATTCCCTCCATGGCCCTCAACTATTGAAAAAAAATGTTTAAAAGACTACAAGCTGCAAAAAATGGCTTCCTTACTTGTTTGATGAATATGTTAAACTATTTCATCCTCGTTCTTCCAGGAGTTGCAGAGGCGTCTTTCAGAAGAGATTGGCCAGTTACGAGACTTTATTGCTGCTCGGAGCTCATGTGATGGTGCTTCACACAATGAGAAGAGTTCTTGTGAGCTAGAGGTAAGGAGGAGGGTTGCTTGTTCCTGATACTTTTTGCCTGTCACATTTTCCATTTTCTTTGTTTCAGGCATAAACTGGCTATGTAATATTGTGAGTAAAACGAATCTCTGCTGAATCCAGAAGCAGATGCACACAGCTTTTGCGGCAACAAATAGCTAAGGTGGAATCGGTTTTTAAAAGGGAGATCTGGGAAATTATAGGTTAGCCAACTTAATGTATCTTCAAGACAATTAATAGAAATGGTAACCAAGGACATAAAGAAAATCAAGAGGAAAATCAATCTGGATTTTGTCAAACTTCTAAAATGTTTTGTTGTTGTTGTTTGTTTCTTGAAAAAGCCACCATGCAGTAAGGAATGGTTGAACAAACACGGTTGAGCAGGTTACAAGAACCAAGCCATTGAAAATGAGTTTGTTCATGAACACAATCAATTTCCTGCTTTGTATCAGACATCATTTTAGTCTAAAGGGGAATACTTGGGCAACCTAATTTCTGCTGTCTTCTGAGGACAGTATCTCACCCATCTTATCACATTGAAGGTGTTTCTACTGTAGACAATTGTGTCCTGAACATTTCCCTTTCCATCTTTCTTCTGAAGGTGCTTCTTCGAGTGAAGGAGAATGAACTCCAGTATCAGAAACAAGAAGTCCAATGTCTGAGGGATGAACTCCAAATGATGCAGAAGGTAGATTCCTAAAAGCAAATCAGAGTTGCTGGTTTGCTAGAAGTACATACACACATTGGCACAAACTGATCACTCCATTCCCTCTAACAGTATGCAGTGTTATCCAAAGAACAGAAAAGTAGCAAGCTAAAGAAATTAAGGGCATCAGGTAAAAAAGGAAACCCAGCTAAAGCCATTTTGCACCAAATCATTCTGTGTATTGCTCCATACTTTTCTACCCTGGGAGATCACCTTTGCTTCCAATATATCCATACTCATTTTATACTCTGCCTTTTATTCTTTAAATTGTTTGGTTCTCTTTTTTGAAGATCTTACCAAATCTCTAAATTCTCAGTCATTCTTTTTTTTCGTCTCAACTTACTTCATTTTTTTTTTGCAATTTGATTCTCATTGTTTATGATTGACTAATACATTTCTTTCATACTAGTCACTTACTTAATATTCAGCACACATTCATTCTTAACTCTCCTCGATCTCATTTTATCATATTACATTGCATTCAGCTTTGTTTCTCTCCTGATGGGCCTAACATAAAACAAAGTGAGCAAAAGCAAGCTCTTATATGCAGCTGTTGTCTTTTGATGAACATTCACTTCTTGCAATAGACCTATCTACTACTTCTCTAGAAGCATTTGCATATCTTAACATTTCTATATCCAGGTTCCCATCTCTAGCTAATGTTCTACAACAGTGATGTACAGATCATCTATTTGCTTTACTTTTTGCCATTTATGTACTACTTGCAGACATTTAGCCAATTTTCCCTGCTATCCACAGCTACCGTTGTGTTTGATGAATTAATTTTCATATCCATACTCCTTGTTGCATCGCACAATCTAATATTCAAATCATTCGACTTCTCAGCCAACACAATATCATCTGCCTATTCTAGCATGTTTGTATTCCTCTTAACATCTCTGCAAGTCGATCAACACTTTAAACAACCAGAAGAACATCCAGCATCCCTGTCTTATGCTCCGTTCAATATTGAGCTATGTGCTAAGCATTTATTCTTACATATGCTTTGTTGCAATCATATACCACTGTTATTACATTCAGCAGCAAACCTCCAGCACAAAAGATTCCACAATTCAAGCCTGTTGTATAATTAATAACATGTACTTCCCCTCAGAAGATGCCTGTGTCTCTCATTTGTATCCTTGCTTTCTAATCTTTCTGGACAATGGTCCTTCCTTCCCCATGCAGGATAAGAAGTTTGCCTCAGGAAAGTACCATGATATCTACCTGGAGCTGAATCACATCAAGCAACGATCAGAACGAGAGATTGAACATTTGAAAGAGCATCTGCGCCTGGCCATGGCAGCCCTACAAGAGAAAGAGATGCTGCACAACAATATTGGTATAAAAGATACGTTTGCATTACAGACACATGTTGTGTAAAGTGGAGCTAGTCAAGCTGCAAAGGCAGAAGGCGTTGGTGCCCCTTTTATCTCCAGCAGCAGAGATGCACCTTGTATTGGCTATCTTGCTGATTGCTTCACAGTGTTCAAAAACTTTCTCTTTGCCTCCTCTTCTCTCCCCTCCCCTATTCTGTATGCCAGAGGACAAATGTATAAACAAGTTGCTTGTAGAATTCTCCATGAAATCAGGTGGAAAGCCACAGGTTGGTCACTGCTACTGTATTAGTCTAGTCAAGCTCAGTTTCATTTTGCATCTAAAATAAGGATGTTACAGCTACAATATATAAATTGTCATCACCAAGACACTCCAAAGGTTTTAGAGTTCCATCTTCCATTAGTCTTGGCATGGCCACAAGTCCTGCTATGTAGCAAAGATAACACTTTTTGAGCATAATTCAATGTTCTTAATTCTACTTCTTTCTTTGTTCCGTAGGTTAGTTACTTTTCTGTGCACCACTTTGGAGAAGAGAGCAGCGTTCCTTTCCCGGAGCACCGGGCGAGACTTTACCAAATAACCAGCACATGCA